CGGGATACGCCCAGAGTCATGGAACGGATTAAGTTCGTATCCCGAGGTACCACTGTACTTTTGATTCTAACTGGAGACCAATGTCTATCTAGATTTGCAGAGTTATGCAGTCCAAAACAATGGTGATGCAAACCTGTTAGCACACAATATCCTTCCTTCTCAGGGGCAATGGCTATATGGATATTGATCCCAATTAGCACTTGTCTTCCATTCTTCCTTAGAATCAAGATCATTGATGTTCCTGTTCCAGAATCTGACTTCTTAACCTTCTTTGCTACCAACAACCCTGCCCCACCACATTTTTCTGTCCAAACCAGGACATGTTAATTCACATCTTCTTCTCTGTATTTAGGACCAGAAAGCAAGCTGAAATGCTTTTATAAAAATGGCAACTGTGAGCAGTTTTGTGTAGATTCCCCAACTATATTAAGGCGGTGCTTTTGTGCAGAGGGATACCGGCTAGCAAGTGATGAGGTATCATGCATCCCAGAAGGTAAGCATACAGCACCTTTCCAGATAGATGCCAGAGTATAGACAGATGCCTTTTTACTATTAGTTGACATACCATGAACTGGTCACCCCACTAGAATGAATAACAAAGGTGGTCAGCCTTCCTCCACTATGATTAGCATTTTTTTAAAGGCTGTTTCCCTTCTCCATGTCAGTTCTCATCTTGTCAATAACTGAACTGAAATACTGATCTCAAGATGGAAAACAAGAACAGTCCAGCTGAAGTGATATTCAAACCCCTGGCCAGAGCTCACCATCAGCACATCTCACATATGTACTGGGAGGGAAATGCCTCATGCCAAGTCATGCTGGCCTAATTCTCCATGGCTTCAGATAGGGATCTTTCACCATCCAGGAGATGCCAGGGACTAAATCAGGCTTCTGCCTGAGGGAGGCAAAATTGGGTGGAGGCAGGAGTGGAGGGGGGGGGGCGAAATAGGATCTTTTTCCAGTGAAGGCAGTTGTCTTTAAACAGAAGCATGAAGCCTCCTTGGTGTTTAATCCTAAAGGACCACAAGTAGGTCCTTTCTTTAATGACACTGGCCTTCATTTTATTTGAAGCATCAATTTTACCTGCTCCTCAATTGTAAGAGCCAGAGTATTGCTTGGAATTGCAGTTAAGTAACATCAACCTGAGGTTTAACCCCCTTGACAAGAAAGCCTTGTTTGGTGAAGTTCATATCCCATGGGGTTGTTTCACTTTCAAGGGAACATTGACATCTAAATGGGAAATCTCAAATCTGTTTCAGAAGAAGGAAAAGGAGAAGCCCACCGTTGGCTATCATTGGTTTTTATACTTACCATTTGTTTAATTCACATTGATTTTTCATTTGATTGAGGAGGAAAGATAGCAATTCACACTTGAGCATAGCTGCACATTATTTAGAACATGAAGTTATAGCAAATGGACAGCAAATAGATAGTTATTATTACAACTGAAATACTTTTGTCCCCTATCTGTAGAGTAGGGCTACAGAAGTAGAGCTTTTGCTGTGTGTGTGTATATGTATCTGTGTGTGGGGGGGTGTGGGGGTGTATCTGTGTGTGTATGCCTTTATGAATAAGGGAGAAGTCTGTATATTTGGACTTTAAAAAGCATTCACCGTACTATAGTTCACAATCTTACTGTTTTGCTAGGAAATACTGAAAGTGGTTTTGAGATACCACTCTGACTTAATTTTTTTATATATATAAGATTTCATACACCGTTTATTTTTTTTACAGTTGATTATCCTTGTGGAAAAGTACCCATTCTGGCAAAAAAACAAAGCGAACGAGGAAGAATCATAGGTGGTTATAACTGTCCTCCAGCCGAATGTCCATGGCAAGTAAGTGCTTGTCAGAATTTAATACAATTTAATTTAAAATTAGTTGAATCATTCACATTTTGTATGGGTATCTATCCACTTTGCAAGGTAATTAGAAGAATTATAGGTCAGATCACTAGTTTCATAAGATATAGAATAATTATAGTGCAAAAAAACAAATTTGCAAAATAGTGAAACTATAGAGTGTTGTGATAGACAAGAGGCCCTGCCCTTTACTCGGGCTGCCTTTTCTCCCACTGCCCCCTTTCTGAGTGCAGCCCTTGGCCCACCACACAAAACTGAATGCAGCCCCAAAATGCTTGTCAATCCATGCTCTGGTCTGAATGATACCAGCAAGATAAATCCTCTATAAAATGCCATACCATTTGACTGTCAAATGTTTAGGCTCTCATAACAGCCAATGGACAGGAAAAATGCGGAGGTGTTCTGGTTGCTCCATCTTGGATCATTACAGCAGCCCACTGCTTAGATCGTGTCCACCAACAAAGCCTCAGGATAAAGCTTGGTAAGTAGGGTCTTGTTAACTTTCTAAAACTCAGTTAAATTGAGGAGGGAAAAACACTGCACCGCACAGGAAGGTCTAGTATTGCCATCCTGTTGATTTCGTCTACATCTTCAAGCATCTATTTTAATATCAGTTGTTCCCGCACAAGTGGCCATCAACTGAGCCAATGTTTGGCTCTGTATGGCTATTTTGAACAGGTTCTATTTTGACCAGAAAAAAAAAAACTTGAAACATTTTGGAGCATTCTGGCACAAGGAACAATGGGACCCTGAAACAAGCTCCTTGTTCCCTAGTTCTTCATCCTAGGGTCACAAAAGTAGGTAAAGTGGTAGTTCCTTCAGAGCACTACCTACAATCCAATCTCCAGAAAATTGGCAAAGGAACTTTATTTAAAAATAATTATAATAGAAACCTGAAGTCCCATAGCAAACAATGGCAGCAGCAGTTAAGAATGCTTTTTGCAGCCAGTGTCAGACCGCAAAGAAGCAACAGCAATAGGTTCATTTGAACACAGCCTGCAAACAACAATAACTAAAGTCCCAATTTGGTTTCAAGATCATAATTTGGGAATATGGGTATATTTCAAATTTGGTACACTTGAAACAGCCATTTTGAGCTTAGCAAGTTTTGAGTTTGAAATGTTTTGCACAGCTCTCAAAAACAAGTCCTCAAAATCAGATTGTATATTCCAGAAAGCATATCATATCCTGATTCAGTAAACACTATCAGTAATAGTAATCCAGCACTATAAGAGAGAAAGAAAATAAATAAAACTTTTATATTATAAGAGAGAAAGAAAATAATTATTGTTTCTATTGTAAGAGAGGAGGAAAATAAATAAAACCTTTTGTATTCATTAACTTCCATGGGAGTGAAAGAGATTAGCTAGGCCTTGACTCTGCTCTGAGATCTGCACTATGAAAGGACTTGGTATCTGCTACCTAAATCAAGTCTTGCTTTTTCAGGTAAATACAGGATAAACCATAAAGATGAAGGCGAACAAGAAAGAAGAGTTGCTGAAATGATAATCCATGAAAAGTATTCTTCCAAAACAGTTGACAATGACATTGCCTTGCTGCGATTAGCAGCCCCAGTTAACTACTCTGAGTATGTGGTGCCCATTTGCTTACCACCTCCACGGTTTGCGGCAGACATCCTGAACTATGTTGAATTCTCAACAGTGAGTGGGTGGGGGCGTCTCTTAGAAGGTGGGGCTACTTCAGCAATCCTTATGCGAGTGCAAATCCCCAAAATGCACAAAAAGGAATGCATTCTGCACACAAAATTCAATATTACAGACAACATGTTCTGTGCAGGGTATCTCAATGGGACTAAAGACTCTTGTGAAGGTGACAGCGGTGGACCTCATGTCACTGAGTACAGGAATACTTGGTACCTAACGGGAATTGTGAGCTGGGGTAAAGGGTGTGCTGCACTAGGAACATATGGAGTTTACACAAAAGTCCTAAGATACTTTCAGTGGCTAAACTATTATATGGATTCCTAACACATATTGCTTCCACATTGTCCTTCTTTCATTGTCCAAGTCCATAATTTTTAACCTTTGAATTTTTGAAATATCTGAAATAAATTAAAGATTATACATTGATTTTTCCTTTATCTGTTATTTTTAACCCTGCAGTCATGAAGAGTTATTTAAGTATAGTTTAACCTTTTCCGACATTTCCCATATATATAATTAGAAAACAATATTTTTATATTATTGGAGCTGCTTCAAAACATTGGGACCAAAGAAAATGAAGATAGATACAGAAGTTCAATTGGAAATCTGAAGTGGATGTTCACTTGGCAAACTCTACATTTGTTGGCAGAGTGCTAGGAATTTGCAGGCAGAATAGTCGTGAGCCTGTTTTTTCTCCTTCAGGTTCTTCTTGACTTGTCTTGGATTTTTTTCCAGGTGAAAATAGGAGGTAACAATAAGCTGGAGATCCCAGAGCTGGAAAAAAGTACATTGAAAAGTACCAAAACACTCTCATGATATCAGAACTCAGCTTCACTGAACGCAATAGATTGGAAATAGATTCAGAGAAGAGAAAGTCAAATGCTTCTTCACACAACATCATTTATATATGGAATATGCTGCCATCAGTGGGGGATACATTGCTGTCAGAAGAATTGTGGTGATAGCCATGATACTACTAGTGATAGTCAGTACACTACAGACTGTACATATGGAAACTTTAAGATTGTTTTTAAAAGCAGAATACATTTTTAAATATATACATAATCATTACCTTATGAAGGAAATCTAAACATATAATAGCAGAACCAAAGTCAAAATTACTGTAACACCTATACACAACACACACTAGCTTATAACTAGCTTATATGTTTTAAACTAGATTTTACATTTTAGATATGCAGTAAAACATCAATTTAATTAACCACCATTTAGTAGAATTTGAATGCTAAAATTTCTATTCAGACATACTCTCACAAATAATGGACAAATCCATTGTATCCAAGGGAATCTAGACAAGGCATTTAAATTTACATTAAATTATAATCACATCATTTGCACAATGATGCGAATACCTAAATAACGTGATCATGTCCTTTGCACAATGTTGTCAACACACAAATTATGTCCATTGGTGAAAATGTATGTCCGTTGCTGCAAATGACACATTTGGATTTAACAGACATTTGGAAATAATGGATATTTTGTTCCTGTATGGCTGGTTAAATTCTGGTGTGATAGGGGCTCCCATGTATAAACTTCATAAAATTCCATGGAAAACCACTGTTTAAGAGCTGAAAAACATATTTAAATGTTTGATTCATTGTGTTTCTTGACGCTCTGGATATTTTCATTTTTTGTGTAATTTGTGTTTCCACTGGCTCTGCCCATTTTGTATCAAATGTATGCAAACTGTATTTCTCTCTCTTGTTTAAATATTGCAGAAACACACTTATTACAAATTGGGGGACAGGCAGCATTAGCATTTGCTAAGACTTCCTTAGGAACAAGGCTGCAGGGTGTCTTAAGATTTCTTTATGAAGCATCCAGAGCGGGGCCAGTGAAACTCTTCCCCTAAGAGTAATCTGCTTTCGACTTCTTGGTGCACTTCCCTTAGAGGTCAATATCTGTGCCAAACAGTGGGGGCAGCTGTCCTTTGAGGCATTCATCCCACTCCATACGATTAATCTTGCAGTGACTTGAATGCCCTTACTTGGCAAAAACCTGAATTTTGAATTACTCAACACGATGATCTAAAGAATCCATATCCAAACACAAACGGAATGGAGGGCCTGATAAGGGCTGGAGCAGAACAACAGGAAATTGTTTGAACCTTGTTCACAGCCAACCCCGAAAGAGAACAAAGTGCTCTTTTTCCACCGATAGGCACCATGGCTCACCAAATACTCCTCTGTCTGATACTCACTTTTCTGTGGAGTCTCCCAAAGGCTGAAACTCGTGGTAAGAAGCTCTTCATTTTCTTTCTTTCTCTCCTTATAATCTGTCTCACATGTAAACTGCATCTGCATTATCACCCAGACTTTCCCTCCCTTCCCCATATCTCAATTTAAATCCCACATCAGCTTAGCCTCTCCATGAACCTGATGCAGCTCTTGAAAGCTTATGTCTTTTAATAAAAATCTGAAAAGCTGCTGCCAGATTTCTTCTGAGTTTCAGCAACCACAGACAATACAGCTCTCCCCCTACAACTTCTCTTGCTGTAATTGGCTTAATTTCTTTTGAAGAAATATTAATCATTTTTCGTGCAGCCATAAGTAAGGATCGGGTTAGAGGAAGTCGTCTTCGCGTTGAAATATTCATACATCTGCTATCTTGTGTGCACAAGTTGTGTAACTTTATTTCCCATTAAAGCATGAAAACAGCAAACCGTGTAAAAAGAGCGATCCATTCCATTTCTGAGATGGCAGAAATATCTCCTGTTTCAGGTGCGGGGAGGCGGGAAATGAATAGAGAAGGCTGAGCTTAAGTGCATATTCCCATGCAAATATGTCCGCTTGGAAGGAATTGGAAATAGCACGTACCCACAATGTTATTTGTGATGGTTCCCACCATCTGCAGGTAACTCAACTCCAAAGAAAAGTAGAATTAAAAGTACACAATATCAAAGATACCTTTGAAAAGTCAAAGAATGTGCAAGAATGGCCCCTGTGAAATATGAAAGAAGAAAAGTATCCCAAGTGGGGTGGAGAGAGAAAGATTTCCTTAAATTTCACAGGTCAAGGAGGACAAAAGAAAACCCAACATGAAAAACCTTCCACCTATTTGTACTTCTAGATATTCTCCAAAGGTTTTTATGAACAGTGAAGTTTGATCATTCAATACATTGAACGTAATAGAACCTCACTGGGGTTGGTAAGCAAATAGCTAATTTCCTTTTAGTGTCGCTCTAAAGTCATTCCTCCAAAGTACATTTGGTTTTTCTGTGTGCTAACGTGTAGCCTGTAGGTTGACATGAAAATGTGCCACATTGATTTCATGGTCATAGACTTTCAGCAACTGTTCTTAAACAGTTGGCTTTAAACAGGACTGACTTACATTTGTAATAGTAGCTGCAGAAGAATGGTCTTGGCTGTTGCAAAGAGGGGGCACAGGCACCCAGCAGAGTGAGGCAGACAAAATTAAGCATTCTGCCCCATTGCCAGTTTCAACAGGCACACCAATAAGCCGGAACTTCAGGGCAGAGTAAAGGAAACTTGGCCTAACACAATGCACAATTAAGGGCTAATGTGCTGTGCTACAAGAGGTGGAGAATGAGCACTAGCTTAGAGCTGAACTAGATGTGGGATTAAATGCACAGTGCATCAAACATAGAAGGCAGTGAGAAGCAAGAGCTGATACTTACTGGGATCACTGTAATGTGCATGGGAAAATTATTTTTTTCCAGCTTTGCTGCAGTCCTGGCCCCTCCCTCCAAATGTTCTAATGAAAATTTTCTCCAATTCAAATAGCAACTTATTTGTTGTATTTAAATATTTATTTCTTAGATTTATATCATGCCTTTCATTCAGGAGCTCAAAGTGATATACATAGCATTCCCTGTGATTTGTGAAGCAAAACCATTGGTGGATTTTGGGGTGGGGCAAGCTTCTCCTTCTGTGGAATGTTCCATCACTTGTCCTCTGGATCTTTGGCTTGTAACCTCTGTCCAGGAGGTTATGAGAGATGCTTTCACAAAGGCCTCTATGAGGGTGGGAAGGATTCCTCCTTATTTAACTGAGGCAATTATTAGATTTCTTAAGTAGCTATCCCTGTGTCCACCTAGGGAGGTAGACAATTATTGACCCTCCTAGTTTTCAGGAGAGTAAAAGTAAGGGAGGGGAGAAGTACTTTCAGATTTGAAAAATTCTGTTACTGTAGCCTTACAATAAAGGTAGTGTTGGTATTCATGGTTGGTGCTTCTTGTCTGGACTACCTCAAAGGGCTGACAGAAGCAGATTATCTCAACCCATTTCAAACTGGCTTTAGAACAGGTTATTGGGGCTGAGACTGCCTTGATTAGCCTGATGGATGATCTTTTGGGATTGATAGAGGGAGTATGGCTGTGGGTTCTTCTTGACCTCCCAGTGGTTCTTTTTTTTTTTCTTAATTGAGTCAACCATGGTATCCTTCTGTATTGCCTGTATTTGGGAACAGGACTCGTGGCTTTCCAATAGCTCCATTCCTGCCTCTCAGATTATTTTTGGATTGTGTCTCTTGGAGTTCCTCCGACAGATCTATGATACGGTGTCTCCCAGGGCTCTATTCATTTGAACAGATTTTATGTTTCTCTTATTTTACTTGTCATATAGTCATTATATAATATATAATATAAATTGTTTTACCTTGTGTGTACCCTGCCTTGGAATTCTTTGTGAAGGGTGCTTTGCAAATGTTTAAAAGAGACCAAGTGGGTAACCTCCTGGTCCCTTCAATGAAATGCTGCCATCTTGCAGGACTGAAGAAGCATGTCTTCTCAGTCCCGGCCCCTGCCCTCTGGAACCGCATCCCCCCAGAGATACGCATGGCGCCCACTCTCAGAGTTCCAAAGGTCTGTTCCTAGGCCTAGAGTCAGTGTGTCTGTGGAGCCATTGTTGACTCTTTCCTGCATGTTGGGTAATGTTGTTTAGTCTGGAGAGTTCTTTGACTTGTGTTTTTATCTTACGTACAACACATATTGTAAGCCTCCCAAAGCCTTTTGGGTGGCCTTAACCAATTCAATAAATAAATAAATAAATAAATAAATAAATAAATAAATAAATAAATAAATAAAGTCAGTGTACGATAGATGTGATTCATATTCAACAAATTCAGAGGCAGTTTGGGAAATCTAATACAGAAGAGGAAAACAAGGGAACAAGAACTTCTGTTGGAGGAACTCAACAGAAAGAAAAAGATAGGATGCGTTTTCTACAGTGGAAAATGATTGTTTGATTGATAGGGGGAAAACCAGATAAGTTAGAGCCTAGATCATTTTTATCAAAGGTGGCAGAAAGGTCAAGAAAGATAAAATCAGTGACCTTTAGATCTGGTGGTATGGAAATAACTTGTAAGCTTGTAGTGCATGGAGCACTGGGGGGCGAGAGTCAGATTGTAGCAGGTTAAGAGTACATTTAAAAAAGAGACAGTAAAGAATATTCCAGGGATTCAGAAGCAAACAGAGTGTGCATAATTGTCCAAATTTAGGAAAAGGAGTTTTCAGGGAGTTAACAGTTTTTAGAACTGTAGAAATAAGAATCTGCTTGAAACTCTTTAATTTCTATAGGAAATTAAAGGAATGGCTGGCGTGGTATAGGGTTGGTTCATAGTTTGAGACATGATATTCAGGACTTAGAAAAGAATAAGATCAAAGACTCATGTAAGTATTAGATGAGGAATCAGGAGACACCAGACGTGAGTAAATAAGATGGAGGATAGTTGGCAAAGGCTTTCTAGAGAGAGTCCTAGATTGCCAGTAACTTTTTTTAAAATCCAGGATGACTTAAAGTGGCCTCTAAGAACCAGTAGGGCCAACTTCACTGGGAAGAAAATTAACTTTAGCCAGAGGTTAAAGAGATAGTACCAAGGTCTAGTATCCATAGAAACCAAGCCCATCTCTAAACATCTTAGATATTAACAGGAAGGATGGGGAACCAGAGAAAAGGATTGTTGTGGATAGTTTCAGTATCACTGAAAAATATATCAAGGGGGAAAGAAGAAAGGGAGGCAGGCAGAGACCTGTGTGGCAAAGCATCAACATTAGAAAGAGATGATGAAGACTGACTGAATGGCTATAGATTAGTACCCACAAATAAGATAACTAATGGAAGGAGTAATCAAGGGTTGATGATTCATTCTCAACTACTGAGAACGGGACTGAGTAAAAATGAAAACTGTAAAATATAAGTAGGCAGGTGTAGTTATTTAAAAAAAACTCTATTAAATGCCACAGGTTATAAAAGAAGCCAAAATGGATGACCTCCAATAATGAAAACAATATTGCAATCTGCTGTGGAACAAACACGCATGGTGTCAGGTTGCTTTTGGAGAGAAAGAGTAGGTTTCCAAGGTGGGGAGGGAAGCAGGGGATACTGTAAACCCAGGTCACAAGTTCACTTCTTAATGAGCCATTACATGGAACATGTAATGCAGCCAAAACATAGCATTTTGGCTCTAAAACTCAGCTCTCTGACATCCGCAAGTTCTCCAGATCTACTTTCAGGCCTCTTGTAATCCCATGGTGGAATGCAGCGGTGGAAGAGTTTATGTGTAAACTTATGGATCTCATCATAATAAAATAAGTATGGTGTGCGTTTGTATATGTGTTTGTGTGTGTGTTTGGGTAGAGAAAGGACTGTGTTGGACTGAATTCCATAGGGGGGTTTCTGTTCAGCCTGCCTTTGGTCGTGCCTGAGGAAAACTCTGCTCTTGAACATGAAAGGTTCCCCATATCTTTCAGACATAGCTCATTATTCCCTCTTGCATGTTCACGTATTCACACTTCCTCACATAAAAAGCTTGTGATGTCCTTCCCATGTCAGAAGTAATGACATTCAAAATTCAGCACCATCATTTCTCATGGTATTATCCCTAAATATAATTATGCATTATTTCTTGTTTGGGGGGTGTGGATAACTTCATTATCCATATGGTTTTTGTTTTTTGTTTTGTTTTGTTTTGTTTTGCTTTGCTTTGATTCTTTTTTAGTCTTCTTACAAAGCAAAGTGGCAAACAGATTTTTGCAAAGAACAAAGCGAGCTAATTCACTGTTTGAGGAATTTAAGCCTGGAAATATTGAAAGGGAATGCATTGAGGAGAGATGCTCGAGAGAAGAAGCCAGGGAGGCCTTTGAAGATGACGAGAAAACTGTAAGTGTGTGTGTTTCTGACTGCTCTCTGTATGTAGTTTTTTTCTGCATGTGTGTTTCTGCACCTCTTATTTCTGTGAGCCCTTCAAAGCCAATGAGATGGCCTGAAAACGGGTTTCAAATATGCCTACATCATGGAACAGATCCGTTTCTTCCTATGGTTCTCTCTGTTGCTTCTGGCTGCCCCTTCCTCTTGACCGTGCATCTCTTTTCTCCTTCCTGCTGAAGAAAACTGGAACTTGGGGGCACTTCCATCCCACACTCTGAGCACCCCACAAAGCTGTGGGTGTGGCACCCAGATCCTTCCAAAATCTTCCACTAAATAGTAAGTCTCAACACGACAGAACCAGCATATTACCAAAGACACAGGTGAAGTCATCCCATGGATCATATTCATAAATTAAAATTAAATCCAATTCAGTGTTGTCCTTGGGTCTAGCTTTTTTTCCCCTAGCTCCAGCCACTTTGCAGGCAGGGGGGATGCTCCTCCCTGCAGCGCTCTATGCAATGGCCAAACACAAGCAGAGCATAAGAAGGAGATCAGAAGACAGGAAGGGAGGCAAACAGGAGTGAGTGGAAGGAACAAAAGTTGTTGATGCTTGTCAGGTTTTCTGGTGGATATAGTGTGTCCTATTTTTATCTTGCATTCGTCCAACACTTAATTAATAGAAACAACTGGCTCTTTCTTCTTTTTTCTGTTTTTACCAATCTTTATCATTTGATCAGCAAGCCACAAGGTTACAAGGATAAAACTACAGGTGGTCCAGAGATCAGGGGCAGTGGAAGGAACCTCTAGAGATTGTAAAGGGAAAAATGTGACATTAAGGTCCCATCATCTGCCTCGCTCATATCTGCAACTTTTTTTCCCCTTCCTTAGAGCAGTTTTAAGCAGTTTTAAGTTTTTAAGCAGCTAGGATATAACCAAGAGGTGTCTTGCAAAGCAGCTTTTCCAGTGAGATGCCCTCCAACTACACAGGACTACAGTTCACCTCACCTCCAGCATTGTTATGAGTGCCAGAATACTTGGAGGGCATCCATTTGGGGAAGACTATTATGGGGAAGCAGGGAGAGATAAAGAAACTTACAATACATTTTATAAATCTGTTGGCAGCACCGTTAGGATAATTGCAAGAGGAATTATAGGCAGTAGGATACTGGATTTGACCTGAGCTACAGCTGAGCCTAAAGCAGATCATAAGAGTAGCATTGTTACTGTGCTGAATTATTTATTTAGGTAAATAATTCAGAAGTGCATCTGCATTTCTTTGGACAAAAGACAAGTTTAAGTTTAAAAGAACATGAATTGGGGGGGGGGGAATGAAAATACCCATGAATTGTATTAGCCATAGAGAATTGGAGACATGCAACTGGAAACCTGGCAAGCAGATAAGGGAAGTTACCAGATATTTTATACCAATTCCCATTTCCAATTACTCCTTCAACTAGATAGTTCCTATGCCTGCATTTGCTTATGCTGCTACCGACTAACAGATCAAATATCTTGCTCTTCTTTTATTTGGTGTGAGATGTAAAGATGAAATTGATCTATTTTGTCCTGAATCTGTCCAGCTCCTCAATATATACCTGAGCTGAAGGTATTGAAAAAGATTGAGAAACAACTAACCTAAAAGTGGACAAAAACTTGGAATCAGTTTGATCACAAGTAAGCAGGAATGGCAAAGAGATCTGTTTAGTTCACATTTGATACAGATTCATCCCATTTCCAGGAAATTAGCTATCATTTGAAGTTTTCCAGAGTCTGGAGTGCAATTTGTCAGTAATTAAAAAAAAAAAAGATTCAGGAAATGTGATTAGGGAAAAGTCTGCATATATTCATGAAAATATTTATAAAAATCATCACACTGAAGAAATTTGTTTTCAAAGATTCTTATGTTAGGAAAACTTACAAATGCATTCAAGTTTTAGTTCAGACATTTAAAAAAACTATATTTGACAAGCTGAACTTTTGAAAGGAGTTCTGTGCTATATGTTGTAAATTCACTTATAAAAAAGTGGAAAAAGAGAAAAAGGATCTATCGTCATCTGTTGATGAATTGGCACTGTAAGTTTAGAATAATTTTTTAAAAAATTGATTCATGAATCAATTGACAAGCTGAATGTGATGAAGTTGCAGAAATGAGAAACTGAGAGAAACCAAATCAACAGAGAGTCTTGTAAGAAGGAATTCACTGTTGAGCTTGCACTGGTGGGGTGGTGCTATATAAACTATTCCATGGCTCCATCACTAATATTAGATCTTTGTAGGGTCCTTCCCTTACAATGGTACGACTTGCTCTCATTACATTTTTATTATTTTATTATCTGGTTACATTTTTCATCCACTTCTATATTTGAAAATTAATCAGGCGGTGAACCATTCTTAAAATCCTGCACACACACAAAAAATCACATCCACAATAATCCAGCTGTTCAACATATTGGAATGTTTGTCTAAGAAGTTAATGAAAAAAAAAAGAGCAGCCACAGCTTAGCTCCTTATTTAAAAGGCAACAGGCTCAGAAATAGATCACTCTGATCAAGATGTGTAAATTCTTGAGATTTGCATAAAGTAAACAGAATCACTCTTTTCATTAAAGGACGGTCCATATTTTGCACCAGGAAAAGAGAAGAAGATAACAGAGTTTTTGAAAACACAGAAATAACTTTTCAGTGGAAGTGAAGCTGAGAGAGGAAAAGTTTTTATGGGGTACAAATATGATGTACTTAATCACTGGTCACTGAAATATTGCATGAGATTCTTCTTTATTTTTTTTTAGTTCTGTAGCTTTGTGGTTTTCATTTAACATTGCTAAACTCTAATGTGTGTGTGTGTGTGTGTGTGTGTATTTTTTTTTCTAATTAGGCGAACTTCTGGAATATTTATGTAGGTAAGAGATTATCTGCTTTTGCTCCAAACATTTTTCTAACATACTGGTTAAATATGTGCAGTGTATTTGATAAAATAAATATATTGGTTTTGATTAAAATTAAGAGTATACCTATGATAGGTTAAAATTGACTAGTTAATCCCAATTTTTTAACAATTCAGATTCTTAAGCCCTTAAAAGCTTAGAAAAAGCCCAGTTAGAGACACTCTAATATAAGATCCTAAGGTATTTATTACTATCCATATCAGTGTTTCTCAACCTTGGCAACTTTAAGCTACAGTATGTGGACTTCAACTCCCAGAATTCTGGAAGTTGAAGTCCACATAGCTTAAAGTTGCCAAGGTTGAGAAACACTGATCCATATACTGGGCATTTCAAAGACTATACATATCCATAATAACTGTGGCCATTAATATCCTGCTCAAATCAAGTCATCTAGGAGGAACTTTTAATAATTTCAATGAAACTTTTTATATAATGTGTACTATTAGGTTCTAAGGCTAGTTTGCATATTCTGATTCAACCACTGAAGTAAAACAAACAAACTATAAACTTCTACTTATAGTTAGGTGTTTCATCAAACTGCAACTATAGCACCGTCTGTCCACAGAACCAGGTCTCCTTTTTCCTATGGAGAGCTGAAATAATGTGGTTCCGCATGTTAAACTGGCTTAAATTTGTTGTATGCATTGTGTGAAAGTTTTCTTGGTAATCTGCCTATAAACTCTTGCTCTGTGCAGTATATACATTTGGTAAAGCTGATTGATCCAAAGTTGAGTCTAAGTTTCATTCATTATGGCCATCTTAAAAATTCCATACTTGGTACGGCATTTGAACTTATCTTCCAGGAAACTATATAACAGTAATTTGGATTTTTGTTCTGAACATGTAAATACAGTATTTCTACATTTTGGATTTTAACTCCTTTTTTTTTCATGCTAGATGGGGATCAGTGTCGATCGAACCCCTGCCATTATGGTGGGACATGCAAAGATGGTATTGCTAGCTATACCTGTACATGCTTGGCTGGCTATCAAGGGAAAAACTGTGAATATCGTAAGTTGAGCTGGAGCAATTCAGAAGAGCTAAGAGGAAGAACAGAGTCATGTGGCCGCTCTACCCCCCCCCCCCCGAATCTTGTAAAGATTTGAAAAGGCGTGAGATTTTCTTTTCTAAGTCTTGAGAGACATCAGGGAAATTTTGTGAGAACTGACTGACCCTCAGAGTCACTTAGACCAAAGTGTCATAGAAGTCATAGCAATAAAATGAAATAAAGCCAACACAATTTTTCAAAGGTTCAGCTGCTATTCAAGAAAGCTCCCTATGGGGCCCAGATTTAGTTTATGGGAAGCCAATGGCTTTGTCCATGAACTGGTGTCTTGAATATAGTTTCTTAGCAATATTCTTGGCAGAAGTAATAGAAAAGGATGTTCCTAAGTATGTGGACAATCAATTCAGATACTGATGATTATGGAGGTAAAGATATACGAAAATAAGAACCACCTGGATGGATCAGGCCAAAGACTACATAGTTCAACGTGTTTTGGAGCTGACCTCCTCTTCTAGTAGTGATCATCCATTAATTGGTCTCCCTTTCTTTTAAGACTATTTGAATATCATTGGACTATCCACTATGATTTCAAGATTCCTTTTCTGATCAGTCATTGCTAGTTCATATTTAATTAATGTGGGAAATCTGTGGGATCTTTGCATTAATATCTATCATTTGGTATTTTGTTACACTGACCTGCATTTTCTAGTTTAAGGGCCATTTACCAAAATATGTTGAACCTTCCTCAGGCTGGATGAGAGCCCTCACATACAAAATGTGGGTGGAGCTGGGACAAAGACATGTACAACTAACCCCCCCCCCAAAAAAACCTCGTTTGGTTATTAGATTTTCTCTATTTTGTAGACAAATAGATGAGGCTTGCAGTTTTCTTCAGTTTTTCCCACCAATAGTGGAGGACAAGAGAAAAGAGATGAGGTCTGATTCCTACCAGCATCACTTCCACTTCTGCAACCAGTTTTCCTAATGTCCCATTATAAGCAAGCAATATTTAGAATAGAATTCCAGGATTGCTGTGCCAAGAAAAATGGTTCTGGCTGTTACAGTTTTCTCTTTTTCAAATAAGACGTTTTTACCTATGTTCAATGCTTCATCTGCTTATTTTTTATACAGTCATACAAAAGTCCTGCAGACTGGACAACGGTGACTGTTGGCACTTCTGCAAACTTGATCAAAATGAAATTCAGTGTTCGTGTGCTGAAGGATACATTTTGGGAGATGATGGGCAGTCTTGTGTTGCTGGAGGTATGAATGTATTTGTTCAGTTGGAACAACATATTATAACATTTTATGTTGGTTTGGTCATATCACTGTTAGCCAAGCTTACTGATGTCTCATTCCTATGGAACTATGTACATTCTGTTGTCATTTAAAAGTCAAACTGAACATTTTTTAAAATTAACTTGATTTGACTGTTGGCTCTGTTGTTTAATTTATTATTTCATTATAAAGGAGAAGGGCAGTATGTTATGTGGTAACTAAAGGATCAGATCTCTTTCTACCTCTTTTTTCTGCAACCTCTTTTCCTTTCAGATCTGACTCCAGTGTAGCTTTACTGCCACGACCTATCTCTGTCCATTCACAACTAAGGCTATCTAGATATTCTTTTATTCTTTGATAGGAATTATTTCCTTATGTAGAGGCAGGATTGTTAGATGTGGGCTAATTAACCAGCATTCCAAGAAGTAGTTTTCAGCAACAATTATCCTTTATTAAAAAAACAGAGATGGCAGTTATCTAATTGTCTCACTCAGAATGAGATGTTTAAATGTAAAGGTATCCTTTTTTGTATGTTTCTTGACCTCGTGTTGTCTTGTGCTTGCATCATTTAATCTGAAGTCCTCATTATGGTTTTTCAGGTGACTTTTCATGTGGTAGAATTAAAAAGCCAAGAAACAAGAGAGAAGCAAGTCCACTCGACTATCATACAGATTTCTCTTATGGGTATGATGGATTTGACCAAGATAGTTATTTTGAAATTCCTACAAATTTCTCTAGCACAGTTCCTACTCTGCACTCCCGGAATGAAACATTGGTCAAGGAAGTTGATGATTCAGGCCGTGATGTAAGAGTCGTTAATGGAACAGACTGTGAGTTGGGTCAATGTCCATGGCAGGTAAATGAGTTGAATACGTATGTTAGAATACTAATTGATTTTCATCCAGAATTTGTTTAAACAATGAAGCATGCATTACTTTAATTTCCACTTACTTTCACAACCTGTGTATAGAAAATGTTACAATCCTACGTGCATTTAAATATACAGCTTAATACATATATTTAAGAATCAATGTTGTGATGGAAGATAAACATCTCACCCTGTTTGTCGGTAGAGTTTATGAAGAAAAGTAGATTTACTGCAGATATAGTCATGTTCCCCCTTGGGCCACCAGATTTGCATCACAACATATTTTCACAAGAGCCTTGTGTGGTCCCGAATTTAATTGGATAATTTTGTTTTTGAAAGCTTTAGAAAAGGCTCAACATTATTCTATTATTTCAGGCACTGATATTTTGTCCTGTTTGTTAAAAAGGCCTGACACAGAATATAAAGAAATGCAGGGGGAAAACCTTTTCTGAAAAGAATGAAGGATACAACAAATGTCCAGGGGAAGAGTCATTGGTGTGTGTGTGTGCGTGTGTGTGTGTGTGTGTGTGAAAGAAGTCGAGATAGTGGCTACGAGTACAGAATGTACTCATTTTTATGTGACACACGTAAAAGGGGAGGGGCTTTAACTTCACAGTCCTCGCTGCCTTTTTTGTCCTTCCCTCAAGATGCTCCTGGCCATTGCAGTGAAAACGGTTAGGAAATCAATATTCTAAGGATAATGATTATTCAAATAACTTTATTACTAATGTTTTCAGGCACTTCTGATAAATGAGGAAGGAGATGGGTTTTGTGGAGGAACAATTTTGAATCCCATGTATGTGCTTACTGCAGCTCACTGCATAAACCAAACCAAGCAAATTAGAGTTCTTGTAGGTGGGTATTTTAATTGTCATCTATCTTCAAAAATATTTACAGTGCAAGCCAACAGTACATGTGTCTTCTGAAATTAAACAGGATGTAATCCCAAATTAGTATGTAAAAAAATTGCAGCTTTAATTACATCTATATTTTTGGTTACTAATCTGTATCAAGTCAGATAGAATCAGAATGCAATTCCCTTTGCTATCCTAACATTAATGGCCATGGCGTCTAATGCCCATTCTTCGCTCTCTGCTAGGGCCGTATGTTTGATACTTTATGTTTAAGGGTGCATTCTGCATCATGCATTGTGGGCCAGTGTTTTGCCCAGCAAAAGATGGAAATGCTCTACACAATTCCCCCCTTCTCAGTTTTTTCCCCCTATAGATTTGGTTAAAATAAAATATGGGAGTTTCCCACACCTACTTATAGTTCTGTCCTACGGACTGATGTTCCTTTTGCTATATAATAAACACGTTCAAAGAATGACTTAGTGCATAGATTTAACATAAATTCATTGCAGAGGGACAAAATAAGGCATAAAGTAGTCCTACAGATATAACATGATATACAGCTCTGATTAGGTATACTTCTCAGATATATATTCTTCATAACTTATTGTTCAATATACACATACTTCTCTGATTATGAACAATTTGGATAGCTGCATTTTAAACGCTAATACTGTACATTATATTCGTACCACTTCATAATTTTTACTAAATTGGTCTTCCACAGGGGAAGTGGATACATCAACAAAAAATTCAGGACGTCTTCTCCCTGTGGATAAAATATATGTGCATCAAAAATTTGTTCAGGAAACCTATGACTATGATATAGCCCTCATCCAGTTGAAGAACCCTCTCCGGTTCTCTGAAAATGTGATTCCTGCCTGCCTTCCCACTGCTGATTTTGCCAATCAAGTCCTAATGAAACAAAACCTAGGTATTGTTAGTGGTTTTGGGCGTACTCAAGAAGGAGGGCGAACCTCCAACACACTTAAAGTCGTTAAGCTTCCTTATGTGGACAGGCATATCTGCAAACTTTCCAGTAATTTCCCAATCACTGAAAATATGTTCTGTGCTGGCTACAGTACGCTGGCTCAAGATGCATGCCAGGGAGACAGTGGGGGCCCTCACGTCACTGCATACAGAGATACCCACTTTGTTACTGGGATAATCAGCTGGGGGGAAGGATGTGCAAGGCAAGGCAAATACGGTGTTTACACAAAAGTGTCCAAATTCATCCCTTGGATAAAGAGAATAATACGTCAAAAGCCACAGAGAACAGAGTCGAGCATTGCTCCGCTCTAAAACTCATCCAATGGCATATTTCATGCAGGGATTTTGCTAATCGATAAAGCATTGGGTTAGAAGAGTGTTGCTCAACCTTGGCAACTTGAAGCTGTGTGGACTTCAATTCCCAGAATTCCCCAGCCAGCATGCTAGCTGAGGAATTCTGGGAGTTGAAGTCCACACAGCTCCAAGTAGCCAAGGTTGAGCAACACTAGGATGGGATGTTCAGTATACTCATTTGATCGTGGAACTCTTCATTTCAGACACATTGCCATTTTTAAATGCAACATTAAAGTCCTGTAGCTTGCAATTTATTGAGGGCTCTTTTCTCGAGAATCAACTCCTTCCGGCACTTAGAACGAATGCTACTAATTCGTTTCAAGCTTTGTCTCTTGCGTGCTGTATCTTTAACTGTTTATAATGGTAACTATAATCCTTCAGGCGAGAGCAAGTAGAAGCCCAACAGTGCTATTTGGCCCCTTTGTAATACCACCTCCAGCCACCAGCCCTGTTCCCTTAAGGCAATCAGTTGGGTTAATCAGCGTAGTGCACAATGGGGTAATGAGCTGAATTCTCTTCCAATTTACTTTACCCCCAGGCAGACCCAGAGGCCAAGCATGCCTGCTGCTGCCTGCCAACTCAACGGAGGAGGGGTGAGGGATGTCATCAAATCTTGCTCTCCTGATCCAACAGCTCAGGGGATAGCAGTGATTTCTTGGAGAAAACGAATAGCGAGTCTGTATTCTCCACCCAAATGGGAATTCCACCCAGGCACCCACATTTTGTGTTATCAGAATTTCCAGTGACAGGACCTGACTGCGTAGATTACCGACTGGGTTAAGTGTGTTATAGGAACAGGGTAAAAGTGATATATTCAGTACACTTCTTTAACAGTACTATTTTGTCACAAGCATCATGCTGGTTTTGTTTTTGTTTTTGTTTTTGTTTTGGTCTGAAAACATGTTTCATTGAAAAGTTAAAAGGCTTTTCAGATTTGTGATTGATAAAATTAAAGATGTCTGAAAGTTATATCTGCCTGTGAAGTGAACTGGTGTGGTTACTGGACATCTTAAGCCTTTGGGAAGATGATCAATATAGTCAGAGTGTAAGTTTCACATTCAAATTATCTTTCACTTGATGAAAACTTCAATGCATTATCTTCTGGTTCCATACTCTGAATCTCAGGTTCACACAGTTAAGTATCTTAATATTTTGACCCATCATCCAGGAAGAATAATGTGGATTGAGTCCAGTGAAATTCAGAGAGGCTGCTTCTGACACAACTAGTCAAAACGTTTTGTCCAGCAGCAAAGGGAGCAGCAGCCGAAATAGGTACAGTAAAGAATTAAAATGGAATCCCTTATCGACTTCCACGACTGACTACAAAAACTAACCCTAACCCTAACCCTAACCACCAGCTGACAATGGAGATGAACACACAGCTTTCATATATCCAGTAACGTAAATCCAAAATAATTATTGGAAGAGCCCTATTAGAGGAAGATAACGTCAGGCAACTCTTATATTAATAAAAGAGAATATCCGTAGCTCAGGGTTGAACAGTGGAGTCCTTGGTGCACTGAAGATGTTACCTAGTCGGGTAATGAAATGTCTGCAAGAAAACAACCACGCTCAGAGAAGCCCAAGGATGCCACAATCCTTATATTATTGTTATAGAAGAAGGAAAGGGGAGAGGGTGTTTCCTTCTACCTAACTAGGCCTGCCCTTTCTCTTCTTTTTCTTTTTTCCTAAAAAATTGTGTATCATAAGACTCTAGGGAAAAGACCAAAAATAAATAATTCAGCAAGTTCAGTGCTTCAGAATTTAATCTCACTGTTTTTCAACATCTCTGTTACCCTCTTTGTCTTAAGAGGGTCAGTTTAGTGTGCATCTCAAATTCTTAATTTTCTGATTACAGTAATGTTTTGATTCCAGCAGCGATGTGCCAGTGGAAACAGAGATCAAAGACTTAAGGGTGAAACACACAGCAACTGAGTTAATCTTTAGTACAAGAAAGTTGACAAGGTTTAGGCAGTTCAAGAACAGAAGGAGTCAATAGAGCAGCCACAGACTGTGCAAACTGTTGATTTAATATTCCCAATGGTTCTTTGTAATATGACTCAGAAACGGATCTATTGATGGCAACACTTCCAGCTGATTTCAGAGTATGAAGATCTAAGAAACTATTAATACTTACATAGTTCTTGTACTTAGAGCTATGGATTCCCTTCCCTTGTTTAGCTATGTTAAAAGTTGATTTTAAAAAAATCAGTAGGAGCCCTCTGTGAAACAGATGTTTTTACAATGCATTGCTCAAAATGTTGATCAAGAAGCCCTGGGCCAACTGTTGCAACGTTCATTCATATATATGACTTTGCCAGCTTTCCACTGTAAAATGACTTGAACTGCTAGATGGCACACCCATTTATGATTTTGATGATGGTGCAGAATTTTGACATGATGATCATGCTGGAGAGCTATGTCAGGGCGATCCAAAAAGGAGGAGGAGGAGGAAGAGAAGGAAATGATTCCATTACATAAACAGGCTTCATGCAAATACAAGATAAATGTAGCAAAATTAACACGCTATCCAGGTTCACTAGCACGCTAACCCAAGCTTGAATCATTCAAACCATATATTACAGCTTACAGGCACATAGCTATTGACTGGAATCCAGCCTCTTATGTAACAAGAAAATTGCAGCCTGTGCTTACTTCAGCCACAGAAACTAATAATGATGATGATGATGATGATGATGATGATGATGATGATGATGATGATCCCTTACATTTCCAGTGAGTGAGACGCTCACTTGTGATGAAGTGTGTTTCATTTTCAAGTTCAGTGTAGCAGTTAGATGAAGGACCAGGGAGACTTGCATCCAAGGCCACCATTGCCATGGAAGTTCACTGGATGATTTTCAGGGTCATTCTTTCCCAGCTCAAGTTATCTCACAGGTAGTTGTATAGAAAAATTGGAGAAGGGAATGTTAACACTCCACTTTCAGCTTCTGGAGGGAAGGCAGCATATTAATTTAATGAAAAATAAACTAAAAATACATTTTACAACAAGCCATCTGACTGAGCAGAAGGATACTCCTATCTTAGTGTAGCAGAACAAAATACATCCATTTCTTTTTAGATTGCTTGGGTAAATTTACAAGAAAACTTTTCATTCAAGGCATTTGCAGAGTTCAAATATCTTCTAAGCTTACTTCTTTGGATTTTAATAATGGAACAATGGGGAAAGATGAAAGGACACAAGAAAATCAATCTTCATTTGTATTTAGAAAGCATATTACACGAGTTCCCTCCTTCCCCAAAAAAATTAAGGGATTTTTTTCTTTTAATTCTAGTCTCCTAAGCACCAGATTCACTTGTTGACATTCTATCCTAGAATCAACAGCAAAGTCCAACACTCTGCCAGTGTTATCAGCAAAATTAGGCTGTCAACCTAGGACAAAACCATCCCACCAAACATCTGTGAAGTTCTGGGAAGGAAAGTAGTATATGAAGTAGGTCACGGCACCGTTGACCCAAAATGGTGTTTCATGCATGTTTCCAGCAGGCTAAATAAATCTATCCCCCTTTTCAACACACTTTTGGCATCACAAAATGTTTCTCTGATCATGTTCTGACCTGCTTTCACCCCTAACTAGGGTCACATTCTCTTAGTGATGTTGTCATGTAGCCATTTCCTGACTGTATATCACTGCAATCTTGTCCTAATATGAAATAAAAAATTAACACAAAATGGTTTTGAGCACTTACTCTGCTGACATTGCTTTTTTGAAAAGTTCTAACTGGGACTTGTATGCATGGAACGGTTTTAGCTGTAATTATTCATATGACTGTATTGATTGATCGAGCTATACATTTACCATTATCTTGGCTCTTATTAGTTATGATTGTGAGTCTTTATGGTTTTAAAATGTAATTTCATATTTATGAACTAATATGTTGGAGTTCCCTCAGGAGGATTTTATCCAAAAAGTCTGACTACAATATTTGAATTAAAGACATAAACTGCTGTTTTGGCTTCCAAGGCACCAAACAGTTCAAAGACTAATCTGCCAATCATTCATGCATACTGAATGTTTGATTTTTTTTTTTTAATGTTACCTTATGTGTGTTTTTGAGTTTACACTTGATGAAGAAAAGTGAACAGGAAATAATTGCTATAGGTTATGTTGATTATTGTATGGAAAGTCAAAATTATCTCCATAAGCCAGGTTGTTGCATGCGCAGCAGGATGTGCTCATCTTAGTGACTGACTTGGTCTGCAACAGTGAAGGTGGTCTGTCAAGTATCCTGATTCCAAACTGTTTACCTTTCATACAGTATGTCAAAACAAAACCTTGAACTTGGCTTGGTTACTAAGAGGCGGTCCAGCAAAGCAGCTGTGCATAGAGGAACAGCTCGATAGCTGGTCGATAGTGGCTTTATGAGCCTGGCAAAAGAGGTGGCTCTTTCAATGATCCAAAGGCAGCGTTGGAGATTCTAGACAGTGACATTTCATAAAAACAATAAAACTATACGGTAGAACAACACATATCAGGGGCATTATATCCACTGCAATCAATCTTGCACAGACAGCTGCCATCACTTATGTGGCATCTTCTGCTACGAAGGCTCTATGGAAGGGCAGGATCTTGACTGCCTTCTTGGACGTCTGCAGAAAAGGGGCATCCAAACGTTGGAGGACGAGCTGTTCCAGAGTGAGGGGGCTACAACCAAAAGGTCTGCCTTCAGGTAGACCCCCAACTCGTTAACATTTTGGGAGTGGGGAATATACAACATGCCTGCAGCCAGTGTTATGTCCAACAGGGACCCAAGTTTATAACACTGGGCAGAGTTAGAAAACCAGCCAAGTTCATCACTGCTGCGAGGAACCAGAATCAAAGGTGGACAACAGAAAAGACCCCAAAATGGAAAAGAAAATAAATAAAAGACCAGTTAGACTAGTAAGGTGCACATTTATAGACACATCTCTTTATTTACAGCTAAAATTGGGGCTCTTAGAGTAAAAGTAGGAGTTTACATTTATGCCCAAAAATTTACAGCAGACATCAACACTAACTCTTGACGTCCATAAAATGTCTACTGCTATTGCAACAAGCTGTAAGGCCATTACATGCAGCAAATTGCAGTAATTTCAAATGAATTAATTCTGCGGGATCTATTTGATTGTAATATACATAAGAGAAATCGTTTTTTCAAAGAAACTAGTTCAATAATAGATCCGTACTACAGATTGACAGCGTGAGTGCTTGTATATTATTATTCACTTGGACATTTTGATGGGAACGTCTATTTGTGAAGAACATGCTTTTGGTAAGTGTGGACGCACCCTGGTTGGTTGGTTGAAAGAGCATATGTGCAATTTTCCTGTCAATATCATTCAGGAAAAAAAGAGAAACACTTTAAAAACTATTTCTAATTTATTGTGGAAGAAGAAAGAGAAGGAGGAGGGGAAGAAAGCTGACATACAGCAATTTTAATTTTGCTTTGGGTATTCAGTGAGCTGAATTCACTGTACTGAGTCAAAGGCATACACAGTGTTGTCCAAACTTGGCCACTTTAAGATGAGTGGACTTCAACTCCCAGAAT